ATCCCTCCCAGGCAGAGAGTTCTGCTGTTTGTGGCCTGAGATGGTTCTGAGGCCTCTCCAGACTTCACCAACGTTGTTTTGCTGAAGCTGGTTCTTTTAACAGGTGAAAATATTTAATAATGAAATGTGTTAAAAGAATGTGAAACTATACAAGTCAAAGTTTTTGTGAACAAAGCGCCATCTGTAGATGACACTCTGCAATTGCATTAAAGTGACGTGGAAAGTGCATACCAGTGGCAATTCTAGGTGGCTGTATCTGTGAACAGTAAACATTTTTCTTTTTAAAGAAAAGAATTCAAAGTGCCAAAAAAAGACGTGTTATCACCCCCGGGATCATGATATATGTGTTTTATGTAATGCAGCAGAAAATGTTAGCGGTAAAATCGTGTGGATACAAGTACCAAATCAATTTTTACAACCATTCATCATACTCTTTTCATGAAATCCATTAGTCAGGATAAATTAAAAAAATGGCAACCATTTTCAAGATGGCCACCAAACGGTAAGAACATTTAGAGACAAATTCAACAAGACTGGGCTTTGTGGGTGTCTTCATCCTTAGTCTTGTAAAAGTTGAGTTTAGAAGTCTAAAAGTAATCAAAAGCTATATAAAGGTACTTTTGACTTTTTGTTATGTAGATGACCTTCCTGATGCAACCCTACCATGTCTCCGGCTTTGGTATCACCACAAGGACACCACCAGCTTGTGATATCCTGAAGATTCTTTTTTTGTCATTTCTTCACCTTCTTCACATGTTTTGCATGTAATAAGCGCATATTCTGGCCTGTGAGAGTCATTCAGACACTCAGACACCCAATATCATTAAAATGAAGACACAAGATACTCATTTTACATTTTCGCTTGTTTGTTCACTCTTTCCCAACATGCTTGCATTTAAACCGAGTCCCCTGTCTCTGCTATGATACCCGTCTCTCTTTGTATGTAATTTGCTGTTCCCATTAAGTCCAATCCCTGCCTTTATGAATTCTCGGCAGAGCTGAAGATTTGGCTCCCACATAGCCACGGGCCAATAATAACCAACATATGAAATTATCTGGGAGGCTAGTATAACGTCCTCAGCCTAGGGGTAATTTGGGCATAACAAGAAATGTGACCAGGAAGAGAGGATGCTCTGCCTATTCCTAAATAAAAACCAGTTAAACTAATCAATTAATCAATCAATATTTATTTCTATAGCACATTTAAAAAGGACAGTGTCCATGAAAGTGCTTCATATAAGGTAGCAAAGCAGATTACAACAAAAGGCAACAATAACAGTTTAAAACAATTACAGTGACAGTTAAACAGCACAAATGCAGACCAGGTGGAAGTCTGAACTAATTTGCTTCAAAGGCAAAATGGAGGTTTAAGTGTGATTTGAACGATTGAATGGATTCTGACATGCAGACATTTATAGGAAGATTATTCCAGAGTTTAGGTGCGGCAATTGCAAAAGCTCGGTCCCCTCTAGTCTTTCGTCGGGGCCTTTGTTACACTAAGAGCAGTTGGTTAGAGGATCTGAGCGCTCTCTTGGGGCTATACACGTCAAGAAGGTCTGTTAGGTAACTGGGTGCCAAGTTATTTAAAATTTTAAAAGTATACAAAAGGATTTTGTATAGGCAACTGAGGACACTTGTTTGTCTAATTTGAGAGAGCTGTCAAGGACAACTTCAAGATTTCTAACGGTATAAGAGAGATGGCTGGCATAGGACCCCAGTGTATCAGTTAAACCCTTTTTCAATACAAGCTTCAATGCATGAGAACGCTTCATTGGGCCATCGCTAGGTCTCATCTTAGAACCAGAAACACATGTTGACTTTTATTCAATAACACAATGTTTGGCTAAGATTTTCACACAGAAACACTAAAAGCAATGAGCAGAACCACAGGCTGTTTATTGGGTGGTGGAGCCCAGGACAGAGGGGTGAGGTGGCTGTCATCTGGTAGTTCACAGCTTGCTGTCCAACCAATTATCTAATCCTGGAACAGGAATGAATTCAACCCAACCACTCAGCAAGCCTTTGACTCGATCAAGACACACAAGGAGGGAACAGAGAGAAAAACCCACAACCATCCTCTGGTCGGAGGAGGCGGACACATGAACACACATGACCAACATGATGTTAGGTCATGACACCGGATGCAGTTGTACTGCGGGCCACCGTACATTTGACAGCCCTGCTCTAGGTACAAAACAAACACCCATCCATTATATATTCTGCAAAAAAAGAGCGATAAGGATAGTAAATAAAGTAAAGTAAATAAAGCCACTTCAAAAGAACCATCAAATCCTTTTTTGAAAATTAAATTTGGTATTCTTAAGTTTAAGATTTGGTTGACCTCAGAACTGCACAAATAATGCTTAAGGCCGCAAAAACATCTTTGCCTCACAACTTTCAGAACTTGTGCCATTTAAAACCAAATCATCTTAATTGTCCTTATTACTGGCTGTTCAGCAAGCCAGTAATAAGGACAAATATAAAATACCAGCATTACAGTCACAGGAGTTAGTTTGTGGAAGAACTCTATAGAGGAATTTTTAAAAAAAAAGTACATCAATGCATAACTTCATACCTTTAAAAAAAACAACAAAAAAACCAATAAATTCCATGAATATAGTCATTGAGAAGTCTCACTGTATTCTAATGAAGCCCTGTCTTCATTTTTGTTGATTAGAGCGAGAGTAACCCAAGCTGAAAGTATTCATTAGGATATGTGTTACAGAAATACACTTTCATATTAAACATGTACAACCAGAACTCAGTTTTTAAACAGAGAATAAAGATTTTTTTTATTACAAGGCACAGAGATTTAGAAGTGTGTTAATAACAGTGTGTATAGCTCAAAGTAAAAATGTAGTTTGCCTTTTTAGTTTGTAAACTTATATTGTTTTATGTGTGTATTTTGCATGTGAATAGACTAGGATCAAATGGTGTAAATTTCATCCTACTACTTTTTGAGCATCTAAATTGAGTGGTACACACAGATATTCATGACCACTCAATATCTTTTACAATGCATTCTCTTGTTAGTTCAGTTATATTTATATGTTTGAAATAAAACAGTCAGTCAATCTGTTTTTACCCATTTTTCGCATATGCTCTTATTAGGAGCTTTGCAAAACTTATCATACCAAGTCTTCAGGGGTTCTTCTCCTTCTTCTTCCCCCAGCCTTACACAATGCTCTCCATCAGGATTTTCATGAGTCCAGTTGTCCGGCTCATGGTCAGCCCAAAAAGACAAACTATTGGATGAAGGCCGAAAAGAAATGATCACGTTAACTTCCAAACAGCATATTGTAAATGGAAAAAAAAATGTTTATGATAATCAAACCTTGTGTTTAGTGGTGAGCCATCCAACCACAACCATCTGCCCTCTTCCACTGCATCTGTCAGGCCAATCCAGAACATGTCTTCAAAGTTCTCCATTTTTCCATTCAATCTGGTTCTTAGAAAAATCTGAAAAGGAGATGTTTGAGTGTTATTGATATAACACTGATCTGTTTTGAGAGAAAGATCTTCTAAAGCACATTTTAAAATTTAAAGATGTGAAACAAATGAATGATGAATGAAATGAAAAGTATGCGATTTATACCTGCTCACACCAGTTATCTATCTTAACCAGGTCGCCTCCTTTAGCCCTACATTCATCTCTGCTCTCTGTCCAGGATGATTTATTGGTGGAGAAGTAATAACACTTTCCTCCATGTTCATCCCAGCCTTCATCACATGCACATGGCCCGTCTTTGAAGAATTACAGAAAAGACTTTAGTCAAGTGGAAAATATTGTACAATTCCAACTTTACAGTCATTAGTGGATATCAATTAGAGAAACACAAAATCCATAACTTACTTATATTCACTTTAGGAATTTCAGGACACGTGAGATGCTTATTGCTGCATGATTTTACTTCTATAAAAAAATAATATATATATATCATCTGATGTGTCTTTGATTTAAGAAAAGCAGTTTGAATGGTCACAGAATATATTCTATTAAGTTGTGTTACTAGGAAAGATTTGTTTCCCGTTTTGTTTGTTTGTGTGCATTAATGCAAAACTCAGTTGAAGAGGCTCCTGTCTGCTACTGTCAGCAGTATAAAGAGGAATTCACACAGGAAGAGACTAGCAGCTATGCAGAAATGAGAAATTACATGTTTGGTATGGGGCTAGAAGTTAAATATATCTCAACTTTGAAATGAGCAACTAAAGCAACAACCAATGGCAGCAAAATATACAACTGAAAGACATGATGATATGCACTTAAAATGCTTCTCTTACTTTAGTCTCACACTGCCCTAACAATGTCAAATAAGAAGTAGCACTAATGCTAGTTCTTCAAACAATAGTTAGGTTGAATACTATTTTCAGAGCAGCTGAATAACATTGAATCCTTTAGAGTTTCTCTCACCCGTGAGAGTTTTCCTCAAAGCTGCATTCTCTTCATTCAGTGTTTGGAGATTTTTTCTGCTAAGCCAGTTTTCAACAGCTGATTTCATAACAAGAGAAAAGTAGTTAGAGTAACACTTTTTGGTTTCACTAAAATGGGACAAAGATTTGTCCTTTCAGATCTTTTCATGACAAGATTTTAAAACAATGCCTTTGAAGTAAAAAAATGGAGGAAAACATCAAGGGAACATTTCTTTTTTAAAGTCAAACTTATATATATATATACACCTGTGCACACAATAGCTGAAACTGTTCATGAAAAAAAGACTGTCCCTTTTGGTTTGTTTATCTCGGTTTCAGATGTGTGTGTTGTTCGATTCAGGACATACACAAAAAAGCCTTGCACCAGTAATGAAGGGCAGAAAGGTCGAGTGTCTACTGCAGCAACCAAGTCATGGAAAAATGAAAAACGGTAAAGACAAAGCAGGCCCAGCGATAGAGGATGTGCCAGTAGCAGCATCATTTCCATCTCCTGTTTGGGCCCGCTTTGGAGTTAGTGCTACCTAAGATGATGGCAGTAAGAAATTGATTAATTAAAATCCAAAAGTGTGCAAGCACTGTGCATGTTGCTTATGCCAGCTGCAACAAGTCCAATATCTATAGAGATGTCACCCCAATGTCTCAACTTTTAAACAGTCTCTCAGTGAAAATTCAAAACAAAAACACTGGCAGGTTTCATAGATAAAGATATCCAGGCTTATGTCATAGTAGAGGTGACAGAGTGAGACAGAGTCAGTCATTTTAGTCATTATGTTTTGAACATGCAGAAAGGTCTTGAGGACGGCAGGATCATTGCATTTTTAGCATCAAGAAAAAACAGTCTTTTAGTTAAAACGCGATGGTGGATTATTAGTTATGCACTTGGATAATTTAAGTAAACCCTTTAAAAAAATTTGACAAACAAATGAAAAGCATTTTTAAAGCATCAGTGTCTCCAGTTTTACTTTAACCTAACTTTAACATAAGAATGTGACAATGACGTCCATTCCAGGCTGCTTCATTCTTTCAGTTTTGCATGACTACATGGCACGTCCTCAGTATACGTCCTTGCATTTTAAACACTATAAATGGTATATGAATGGCTTCTTATATTGCACTTTTCTACTCTGAGCACTCAAAGCACTTTACACAACTTCCCTCATTCACTCATTCATGCAAGCACTTTTTTCTTTGTTCTATGTATTTGGCAAGCAGACTGGAAGGATCGAACTACCAACCTTACGATTAGCAGATGACCTGTATACATGTCCTAATATATATTACCCGATACCAATACATTTACCGAATTGAACCAAAAAAAACATTCACCTAGTGCACACACAAAAAAACTTACAGAGACGGTAAATAACAATGACAGCTGCTGCCAGCAGAACACTGAAAACGGACAGGGCTATTCTCTCTGAGGTGACCTTTGACCCTTTGGTTGATTTTGCATGTTGAGCGTCAGGAGCTTCATCTGATGAATCACATAAAGAAGACAGAAAGTGGACACATAATAAATGGTTCTAACAAACTCTACATAGTGTAGTTAAGGGCAAATAGAGAAACATTTAACTCTTTACGAATGTTCAGCCTTTGTCTGGTAAAGGCTGGTTTGTCTGGTTCATCAAGCTGCCAACTCTGAGAACCACAGTTAGATTAGACAAGACACATGTGAAATGTGCCACATTTTCAGATCCTCATTCTAATTCTCACTTGAAGTCTACTTTTATATATCAAGTTAGTTTATATATCAGTGCGGGTTTATTCTAGTTAACTTCAAACTGCTGGTTCTACCCTTCTCCTTTCTGTTGAATTAACATAATATTCTTACCCTCGGTGCAGCTCTGTGGACTGTTCATCTTGCAGTCTTCAAGGTTCTGACTTCAGAATTAGTCCAGCTGTCTCTAAATCACAAAATCTAAATAACAAAAACTAAAACTA